CCCCCGGGAGCCGTGTGAGACACTTTTTTTTGTGGAAGGGTGCTTTTTATTTCATGTCTTTTGGACCGAAGCAATGCAACACCCACTGAGTACAACGATAGAGCTTGAAAGATCAAAGAAAATTTTTAATATAACTCCGACTGGATTCGTCTGAAAGAAGAAAGTCATATACACCTAGGATGCATCGGGGGTGAGTAAAACGCAGCCTAAATTTTATTTTTGGGTGAACTAACCCTTTAATGTCGCAAAGATTTTTTCAAAAGTTTAATTACAATTTTTATAAACCCATAATCGAGCCATGAGGTTTGAGACTGATTTAATTTAGAGTATTCTTTCTCAAGTCAGTCAAGTCATTTTCTTCATTTATTAGAAATCTTTAAATTCACAAGTGCAGCCACGTAACTTAAGACCTCCACCTCTGATATTTACAGTTTTTAAAGCGTGGAACGTGAGATAAACATCATACATTTGCTTCGGCATCTCGCTTGCAATATCACTTGCATAAAAAAAAACTGAAAAAATAAAAATAAAAACTCTAAATCGTTATTTATAAAAGAAAGTAATAAAACTTAAATACATAAAAGAAAAACTAGACACTTTTAAAATTCAAATATTACAGCAAACAATCAGGAGAAAAAGGGGCATTGGGATGGGGCAATGACCTAAACCACTGGATTCGAACACTGGATGCCCGCACATGCAACAGGCCTGTACATGTACACTTCCCGCCATACCATGTCTCCAACATTTTTTCCTTTTGATAATAGATAATATAAGACAACATCCCAGAAAAATAACTTCCAATACCTCAATGTCACGTATTTCTGAGTAAAACAGTATATTCAGCAAGAAACAAATATGTAGGAGGAAGTAATTAGATGGCGTGGGACCTTACCTATTAAAATAAATGAGAGTTTGCGAAAACAATGCCTAAATAGCCATTTGGCAGTTTTAGACAAATTATTTAATTTAAGACTATACACATCAATCCATTTTTGGGCCATTATTTTGATTTAGTCTTGATTTTAAAAACATGCTGCAACACATCAGAAGTACTACATAGAAAACACTTGTTAGAAAATTGTACAACGCCCATGCAACAACACAAAGATGTCACCAAACAATATAAAAGAAATGCTTTATGTCCATTTGTTAACCCACATATGTTTCTTTTGCTCTCGGCATCAAGGCGATATTGTAAAACATGACCTGACCTAAGAGTTTATCAGCATAAGATGTAAATCAGCTGCCTTTTCATTTGCAGGAAGTCTTTTTAGACTGTGTTAGAGGAGAAAGATTATAAAGTAAGATTGATTGTTTAAAGACATGTTGTTTTCTACCCGTTTTAATTTACATCCAGGTCAACTTTAAATGCACACACAACCATTTTTTTTTGTTGGTTTGTTTCCTGCGTTAACACGGTTGCACTTAAATGAGTGTGTTGGAGGTGAACACTTCTGTGTGGCTTTCCTCTCATCTCTACCAATCACAAAGGAGGATGTCAGCTTTAGGCCATCTGAAAGTAAATCAATGTAACATTTCTGTCACTCGACTTTCTCCTTTCTTACCAGACATCCAATAAACAAATCTATGCGTAAGATAAATCGCAAATGGTCGTCCTTTTTTTTGCGATCCACACCTGCACCCCAACTAAAACCACCACCCCCAACCCCTTGCTTGCTTTACAACAGATGTGGATGACTGCCCCTCTCACCAAACTTTGCCTCCACCCCCTTCTGCCCCACCCCAGAGCCTGATGCTACCATTCAAACCCCCTTACAACAGGAAACTGCCTTAGACAGAAGGGAAGAGAATGCAAAGGTGGGGGTAGTGGAGAAGGAGATTTGGCTGTTTAACACAAAGGAGACTGGAATGCAAGGAGTTAATCCGTTTGAGGGTTCTTCCGCAAACAAAGGACAGGCCTACAGACAAAGGTTGGTGGGGGTACGCACAGGGGGGAGGGGTTGGCTTTCCCTTACCATCTGGCCCTTTTGTTTGGGGGAGGGGGGTTGGTGAGGAGGGCGGTACTTCGTGGCCCCTCCGAATCCCTTAAACCCCGACACGACCCCCCTCCTCTACGTGTTATAGCTCCAGACAGACGCTCCTCCAATAGTGTCAACACCATACAAGGACCCTCCAAAACCTACTAGACTTCTAATAATCTCACAGAGGGGAGCCAGTAATCCAAAATGGAGAATAAGTTGAGTGTGATAAATGAACACACTGCTCTGTGTGAACTTGATCTACACGCACCAATCTTATTTTTGTGTAAGCCAAGAACATAACGTGAATTCCAGACAAACATGAGAGTCTCCAAAGGACCCAAGTCAGGATAGACGCCATATTTCCTTTGGTTCCAGTGAAATAAGGCCGTAATGGATAGGTGTACAGTCTGTTTGATTGGTTCTACTGTTGTGTATCTTGGGCTCGATAGTTCAACAGACAAAATATTAAAAATGAGTCTTCCGAAAAAATCACCAGAGGACAAAAACCTTCAAGAAACTAGGGTTCCCTGCTGTAAACAACAGCTTAGATCAGCATGAATTTCCAAGCTAGTCCAAGCTAGCTTCTTGCTAGTCTAGCTAGTCCACTAGCTTAGCTATGTTTTTTACTAGCAAAAAAAGCTTGTCAACTATCCGAGTCTGGTTTCTCTGTTGGCTGACCAAGGGAAACTTGCTGGTTAAGCAAGAATCCTGATTGTTTCAACAGGCTTGTGAATATTGGACCTTATTGAATGGACTGCAATACAAGAACTTGTCTTGAAATCAACAATCAGTCATACTTTGCTGAGTCTTCAAATCTTTCCACAGCATTTCACTCAGTCATTTTACTCTAACATCTGTGTATAAAACAGGCCTAATTCTGTACGGCAACATACAAATGTAACTGTAATAAGGAGACACCTACTTCCAAAAATAATGGACCAGCTTTCATTTAGGCTCGTCTACTGCTGCTAGCAGCTAGCATGGCCATACCGTCAGAGAATGTTAGGGGTTTTGAGTTACAAGATCGATACATACCACCACCATGAGTGCAGGAATCCAGGAGGCTCTCCTAATGTGATATTCTTTTCCCATCGGATCTAAAAACATAGAAACAGACAGAGAAAAAGAGGTCAAGTGCGACTAGAGCAGGTTCAGAATGCATGAACTACAGTTAAAAACCTCCTTTACAATATCAAAACAATGAAAACAAATTAAACATCTAGCTCTTTCGGTTCAGCAGACCAATCGTTCCAGTCTAGGGATATACACAAACCGTTTAGTTATTGTGTTACCTTAACAACTAGCTGAACAGGTGGTCCTACAGCCCTATAATTAGGTCTTACTGGTTTAGGGTCACACTTACTGGCACATTTCAAAATGATATATGGACACCTCAATAGATTAAGACAGATACTTAAAGTTTTTATGGTTTAAACAGATGCTAAAAAACTATTCAATTGTGATGTAATGGCCAAAACACCTGTCTGAATGTATTGTATCACTGGTGCTTTAAAGGGGGTTTACCGTGCAACATAAAACTATAAATTACAGACAAAATTGAAACATTCAATCCTAATTGTTACTCACATCGAAACCAACCTCTAAAGTATAATATATATGTCCAATATATGTCTCTAACACACCATATCAAGTATTAGCTAACGGTGATTTTCTGCACCAAATCAGATCACATTCACTCTCTTTTTACAGATTACATCTACTCAGCCTACCACTGTAATGGTAGGCTGAGTAGAGTACTTTTCCAAGCAGACGTATTGATTTTATAACATGCCCTGTCCATAACTTTGCACCCAAAAAGCTGATGTGCATTATTTTGCGTCTCCCTGATGTAAGGGACTGATTAACAATGTTTTAAAGCGTGTGTGTGTTTGTGCTGATCAGTGCAGAGCTGTGTGGCCCCTTGAGGTCCAAGGTGTAAGTAGAGGGAGTTTCAGCAGTAATTGTGAGGTGGCAAAGGGAACAAGCAGGTGACTGCTCCCTCATTAAGCTTCAATGCACAGGTGTGTCCTCCTGCTGTGTACCTGCCTGGGCCGAAAGACCTCCCCTGTGGTGTACAAGTGTTCCTGCACTAAGGTCTCGAGATCTGACGAGTGTTCGCCTAATTGAATAGCAACGGAGGTAATGACGACTGTCGACGGCATGCATGTTGACGCCCTACTGCAGTTACATAAACACTGAAACATTGGTAAACATAGCCATCTATTTACTTGTTGACTCATTAATATTTACATATGGTGTACAGTCTAATTTTGCATGCATATATGGCCTAAGCTGCAGAATTCGCCTTTCTAAAACTATGCTTTTGGGTTGGATTGATACCCCAATTTTGTCATCAATACCTGAGGAAACATATAAACAGCCTCAGGCAGCTAATGCAATTAAACTATGACTGTCAAGAGATTTAATAATTACCAATAAGCTATTTTGCAGTTAACGTGAATATATTCCAAATGTCTTTTTAAGGGAAAAAAACAACAATGTCTAAGTGTAGAGTTTGACAGTTCATTAGAATGACGCACACAGCGAAATATATAGTGAAGTGACATGTGACATGTGGCCAAGTATGGTGACTAGGCATGGGACGATAACCGGTTTGAAGGTATACCGCGGTTCGGAAACGTCACGGTTTCAAAACCACTAAAATTTTCCGTTATACCGTTCCTGCGGTATGCGCAGTTTTTTTACGTGTCGTCAAAGACAGAAAGTGCAGGACTCCCTCAGTTGTGTGCAGCGAAGAGCATAACGAGTCACACAAC